GGGGGGGGGGATCAGAGGCCAAGCCACTGGGAACAGGGGTCGCTTGTCCGGTTGGCAAGCAGTGGTCAAAACCTCCCACCTCTCAAGTGCAACCCACATGGTGCAACCATATCCCTCTCTGATAATGGCATGCGTCAGTTTTACTTGTCTATAGCGACCAATGCTTGCAATCTCATGGGACAACTGTGAGACCAATTAAAAACAGAAACGATTGAATTATCAGCCTTGTCTCCACTCTTAGCCCCTCCCATCGGTGTAATAAGTAGAATCAGCCAGTGCCATCATTTCCGTATATATGTATCAACGATTAGAGTAACTTTTTCCTCGGCTGGTCGTACAATCAGGGCGGCAGGCATGGTTAACTTAAAATATATTTCACATCTCTGGCTGCCCAGTAAAGTTTCCGTGATGGGGCGTCACTCACTCGAGCTCTTTCACAGGCACTGGTGAGATTTCACACCCTCACACTCTGACGGTCTGCACCGCTCAGGGCTCACATGACAAGGAACTTGGATCTAAGACAAGGAGTTTACTGTAAACTCCTTGATCTAAGATAACCAAGGTTAAAGACAATGGAGCCAAACTTTGCAGTTTTGTTTCAAATCAGGGCTGAGCGTGCAAAGCACTTTCCGTCTTAGATGGGATTTCTCTTTCCATTTCCGAGTTGAGCAGGTTTCCATTTTAATCAATTTTATAGAGGCAAATAAAGAGGAATTTATCACTGAGCGGGGAGATCCGTTCATGACAGTTGTCCGTCTTAGTAGACAGGTTTCCATTAAGGCCGCAATTGGCGGCCATCCGTTGTCGAGGAGAAAATGGTCGTCTTGGACAGTGGCCTTTTTTCCCCCTTTTTTCTTTTTTTTTAATAAGGGTTTTATATACGGTTACTATAAAATAAAAAAATTATGTCGTTTGTACAAGTGATTGGCTTATACAGGTGGCCGTTAAAGCAGGTTCGACTGTACTGTTGATTAATTTAAGGTTGTCCTTTTTTATCTGGCTAAAAATACACGATGCTCGCTCGCTGGTCCACCAATGTCCCGCTTTGTGGTGTACTAACGAAAGGTCGTCAGTCCCTGATCTGATGTCACGTTAGGTAATGTCAAAAGATTGCCTCCACACCTTGTCTCTTTATTCATGCAGACAAGGGTCTGTGCACTTTAGCTAGCTAAAAAAATAGAGCTTG